TAATTGCACCTTGACAGAGAGAGAGGCAAACCCCTCCTTTCCTCTCCAAGGACTGTCATTTAATTAACAGGCAGGTATCTCTCAGGATTTACAACCCAGCTCTAAGCTGCTACTCTCCCTACTCAGTAACTGAGGCCTATGAAGGCTCATTCCATTTATTCCCACATTTTGATAACCATATTTCTGTTAATCTCTCTCTATGCCAGCTTTCTGGATTTACCTCTCATGGACCATGGAGAGAGCAGTTAATCAACTGAACAGTCCCCATCTCACTTCTCATTCCCTTCCTGGTTCCTGATCTCAGATGTCTGTGTTGTAGATGGCTTCATAGCAGAGCAATGCCTATGATGGCATCACCACCAGATTCCAGTTTAATCCAACTCTTGTATCTGTCCTACAGACATGACCAGAGATAGCAAAGACAAAAGAGAGAGAGATCAGAATCAAAGATGTTGAGGCTGGCTGGATATCAAGAAGCATTTAATCTGTTCCTCCTTTACCAAGTGGGATCATCTCTCTGCAACCTGTTCTTGATGTATATTTTCTAACAGGTTCTTTAAAAAAATCCAGTACTAGAGGCTTCCACAAGTCCCAAGCAATCCTTTCCAGTGCTTCCTGCCCTCCTGTTAGATGTCTGAGAGCAAAGCGCAATGCTGAAAGACATTTTTGCACATCTTGCCCAGATGAATGTAGCTTTCAGTACTTGGGGCCATACTATCTGTCCTGCTGGTCTTGAGGAGCAGATTCATTTTTCCTTGATTGTGATTTTGCTCCTATGGTGGGTGAAGGGGTAGCATATGGTGTCTATACCTTCCATCTGTTTTTGTGGAACATGCTAACATCTAGCAAAGTCCAAAGAAAACTAGTGTATTACTGAATGTTAGTGGCTGAGGGTCAAACCCAAGACACCTGGATTTTGTCAAAAGGATCAATAGTCTCTAAGTTAACAGACATATTTTGAGAGCTCAGCTTGGAGATGATCTGACTACTTCAAATCAGGTACAGCTCAAGTGAAGATAGTAACAACCAAATTACCTGTGCTTAGAGAGCACAGGTACCTATGCACAAGGGAGCACTCATGCCCTCACCTTTGATTCCACATTGGAAAGACCAGTGATGCTGTGGGATTGCCCAAGCAAATTGCCACATATACCTCTGACTTAGAAAATTCCTTCCTAAATCCTTTAATGACTTAGGAGAGGAGATCACACAGAACAGATTGTCAGTTGCTGACTAGATGTGTATTCCCTGTCTGATGTAAGTCAGATCTCTGCAGATTTAGTGACTTCTCCATCTCTGAGACAGCACAGTGCCAGAGGAAGTGTCCTGCTGAGCACCTGCAGTGACAGGGTGTATTAACTGGGCTCCTGGACAAATGTCACTGGCTACCAAATGGACATGAAACATCCAAGTACAACTGAAGTGGGAACGGGCAGGAACTATGGAGGAGCTCTTTTTCAGCACATTTTTTCTTTAATAAGTACCTTGTTTTTCAAACCCCTCTGCCAGTGAAAGAAAAACCTGGGGGTCAAACTGGGGGAAGAAACAGCTGGAATCAAAGAATTAGTGTAGGACCTACAGTATAACATTCTGGTAGCTAAGACTGCCCAGCCTGTTATCAAACAATGTACAGACATGTGTCTTATATTAGCTGGAAAAAAACAAGTGTGGTAGGACTGAGTGCATCTAATGTCTTGCCCTTTCCCCATGACTGAGCATTTCTTAGTGCCTAAATCTCTCCTACCCACCCACAGGCTGGGTAGCAAAAAGGGAAAAGGACTGTACTGCAGAGAAGGAAACACCAAACTGCACAGACAGCACCCTGTTTTTTCAAAATCCGTTGTCACTGCAATTATCCATGAGAGGCTTTTATCCTGAACTTGCAGAAGTGGAACTGAAACCTAGGGAGGAGTTACAAGAGGCTTCAGGCCATGCTGGCAGTCAGGAGCAGAACTTTCAATTTCCAGAGCCAGCTTTGCCCAGCTGTGATCAAAAGACCCTGCAAAAGGCAGCAAGGTCTGGGAGAAGGATAAAGAGAGACAGAATAGCTGTTCCACAGTGAGGAACTCACTGCATGTCTTCTAGGGAACTGGCATTGCTGCATCCATCACAGTTGCACGAAGATATAATAAATGAGGAATTAAATTCAGTTGTGGTGTTTATGGAATTATAGAATGGGTCAGGCTGGAAGGAACTCTAAGGGACATCTAGTTCCAACCCCACTGCCATGGGCAGGGACACCTTGCACTAGACTAGGTTGCTCAAAGTCCCATCCAACCTGGCCCTAAACACTTCCAGGATGGAGTATCCACAGCCTTTCTGGGCAACCTGTTCCAGTGTCTCACCACCCTCACAGTAAATAATTTCTTCCTAATATCTAATCTAAACCTACTCTGTTTCAAATCAAAGTCATTAACCCTGTCCTATCACTACCTGCCCTTGTAAAAAGTCCCTCTCCAGCTCTCTTGTAGGCTCCTTCAGGTACTGGAAAGCTGGTCTCCCTGAAGCTTTCTCTTCTCCAGGCTGAACAACCCCAACAGTCTCAGCCAATCTTCATAGGAGAGAATTCCCTTGGATCAGTCTCTTCTGCTGGCCTGACCTGGTCTGGCCTCTCAATGGACAGACTAGCCTTTCGGCTAGTGCTACTGCAGCCCCCTGAAATCTTCATGGCTGAAGAGAAGTCTCAGAGGAGAGACCTAACCACATCAACAGGCAGGGAGTCACAGCTGCTTGTGAAGACCTCATTTGTCACTTAGCTCAAATGAGGCAGAGGAAGAGGAGGAGGAGGTGGAGGTGGAGCTGGGGAGGGAAGTGAACACTTGATCTCAGCTAGTACTGCTCAGAGCTCCTCTGAGCTGAGTGCAGCAACAGCACCTGGGACTGCAAAGAGCACAGATGCACTGTACAAGCAAGTTTGACACCAGAGAGCAGCAGGGGCAGAAGGCTGACAGTGTGCACATATGAGCTTTTTTACAGAAATGGATATAGAGGTTCACATAGCCCAGCACATCACCACTCCTGGTTGAGCATGGGTGGGCTGCCTGGCAGCACGGGCAGACGTGCTGCACATAGCCCAAGTGAAGCCAGCTCTGGGTAATTCCTAAGTGCTGGGCAGGAGAACCCACATACAGACATGTTAACTCACTGCATTTGTAATGCTTCCCACTGGCTTTTGAGTTGGTGGGAAAGCCAGCATGCCTGGCGCATGAGGACTGCCAGCTGTGCAGGGAGAAACATGAGACAAGGGGCTGCCCCAAGACACCACTCTGAAATGATCCTGGGAATGGGATGGCTGCTTGCTCTTTGGCCTGAAAAAAATGAAAGCTCCCAGCTTAGGGCATGAAGCTTAATGGGACATCAGTGGAGATGCAAAGGGACTTCTTTTTCTCTCAAAGACGGTGGAAAAGGGAAATAGAGGCCAGATCCTTAGAAAAATTAACAAAAAATATAAAACCAAACCTCAAGTCTGAATCTGTCTGCCCAGTTCCCCTTCAGTTCAAGGCTGGCTTGATTTGTTTTCTGCCATGTGGGAGGATTTAACACCTATTGACAGATGAGCTAATCAGCTCTCCTCAGCTCTTGAAGCTTTATCAAAGCCAGTTAATCATGTTACTGATGTCCGCCCAGGCCAGAGCTCTCCACTTCTGTCCTCTGCCAACAAGACGACACAAATGCACACCACACAGGTGTAGGGATAATTTTTCTCCACTTTGAATTCCACCAGCAAGAGGACATCACCAGCGGCTGTTGTGCCAACATGTGGGTGCTGCCCATCCCTCTTTCACCTCCTTTGCCACCCTTTGCTCCTGGGGAGATGTGGTAGCTCCACCAGCATCTCATGAAGGAACAGGATGATCTCTAATTGCCAGCACAGTCATGGCAACAGTGGGAGAAATTGCCCGGGGTTTTGGCAGGCCCAAGTCCTGTGCTGGAAGGCTGTTGAAGCCAAGAGCCATTTGAACCTGGATACCAGCATGTGCAGTCCAAACCTCTGTCCCTGCCACTGGGTTTGTTGTACTTCTGTACTCCAGCTTCACCAACTGCTGCCCTGTGATATAGTCTGGCTTCCTCCTGAGGGCTGAACTGGGGGCTGTACTCCTTCTCTCTGGAATGGCTCTATCCACACATACCCATATCCAACAAGTCAAGAGGACTGCCGTGTCCTACTGAGTTTTGGCACAGCTCCTTCCACCTTTATACCAACGATGGAAGGACCCAGACACGAAGAGCTCTCTGGTCCCCTTTTTGCCCCCTGTCAGGGTCACTAGAACTGACGTTATCTAGTGGCCTGTGCTTGGGTGGACACTGCTCAGGAGCACATTTGGAGGTGGCTGGTGCTAACTGGACTGTTTCGGTAATCACTGTAGGTATTGGCAGCTACATCTCCCCACCCTGCAGACCTGAACTGGGGCTACAGCCTGAGTACATGGAGACTCGACTGGGGCCAGGGTGCCAGCATCTGCTGTGCTCTCAGGACTTGTGCAGTGTAAGGCAGCTTCATCCTCAGAGCTACTCTGTGCCAGCAACCTGACAAGGACCCCAGGCTGGTCTATGACCTGGTTGGGACCTGCAGCTCCAGGGTAGGCCAAAGAACAGGCAGCCACCCCTGTCCAGCAGAGAGACTGGGCTGGAAAGCCAAGGAGCTGCATGCGGAGAGACCCTGCTATGCCTAACCACAGGGCAGTCCCTAAATTAGCTATCCCAGAAAGAAATGAGTTTCTCAAAAGCCTTACACTCTCCAGCCTCCCCTAGACCTCCTCACCCTCTTCTTGCTCTGAAGAGAGATTTATTTCTGTCTGGGATCAAGGAGACACTCTGGAGCTACCTAGATGAGCCAAGAGGACAGTAAAAAAGGTACTGCAAAAGCAAAGAGGAGGAAAAGCCAGGGACGCTCAATCTGAACCAAGCTGTATTGGCTGGTTCTCCACGCCGTCTCCCACTCCTCTCTATGGGTGAGCGGGCGGGCGACCTTGGCTGCGCTGTGAGATACAATCACCCACCTATACAGACAATGTCCATGAAGCCGTACATTCCATAGCAGATCTGGAAGAGCAGGTCCTGGCGCTGCCATTTGGCTGAAGGACTGAAGGTCGACCAGATGAGCCACGAGATACTGGCGATGAGGAAGAGGGAACCCAGGATGGCCGCTGCTATCTGAACCTTCTCAATGACTGTCAGAGAGATGGCCTGCCACTGCAAGGGGAAGCAACGGGGAGAGGAGAGGGGACAAGAGGTAGGGAGGCAGGAAAAAAGAGAAGAGATTAGTTACTCGGGGCACATCATTGTTTTACACCACTGTGGTGGTTTTGGAGATCTCAAAGAGCACCTGTGAGAATAGGTGCTTTTACCTGGTCCATATCTGGAATGGAGCATGGCAGTTGTTCAACAGTGCACAGCCCCATGTTTCCTGATAGCACTGCTGAAGAGGCAATGGAGAGGAACCCTGCATCTCACCAGGAAAGCACAGAGACCTGAGTGAGGTGGGACGGATGAGGCCAGGACACCAAAAATAAAATCCTCATGACAGTAGATCTATGATGGCCATCAAAACCCAGGATGGGTTGCTCCCTCAGAGGCCAGACAGCCTCCTCAGCCAGGGCATCCTAGTACCATAAAACCAAGTCTCGGAGAGCCAAGCTTCCTTTTGAAGCCCTCGCATGAGCTGGCTCTGTGCCATTTTGTGAGATCTGACAGGATCACAGCCTTAGGTAGGACCTCGCAGCAGCAATGCACATCCCACAGAACTTCCTACAAACAACAGAAGTTTCTGTGGTCAGGACACCCTGCCTTTAGGTGATGACATGTTCAGGCTGTGTTCCAAGGTAAATGTCAATGCTTCTTCCTCAGAAGAAGAAAGAATTAGAAATAACCAGCCCAAATCCATTCACTATGTCAAATAGCTTTGTATAAGCTACGTTATAAATATCCTAAGCCTGGACTTCTCTCTGTCATCCAGCATAAAACCTCCCCACTCAGATTTACACGGCTGAGAGAACTGCCCTGTAAAACCAAGAGCAGAAATTGTTGTCTTTAACAAGACCTGGGGACATGGTCCATAACTTCTCCTGCAAATCAGAAATCAAGTGCATAAATAGGCTGGGGAGAGATAGTCTCTCCTGGCATCGAAGTATATAGGCCACCTCTAGCTGTGAGATACATGCCCTTGAAATCACAGTGGGACTGACAGAAGGATAAACAAAGATGGACTTCAACCTCCTGCAGGTACTGAGGATTCAGAAGAACTGAAAATATTCTAGCCTCGATTCAGCCCAAATTCAGTGTCCCTGTAAAGTGTTCTCTCTTGTGAGACCTCAGCACCCTGCACAGTCATCAAACATATCCTAAGACAGCAGGGTCACCTGCCATGCCTTGTCCCATCTGTCTGTAGGGCAAGAAGGGAGTTCAGTTGCTGGGAACCTCTTCAATGCCCAGGACAGCCATGAGTTAGCAGTGTTTTTTGTGAGGTAGGGAGGATTTTGAACCCTGATAAAAGGGCAAGAAGGGCAAGAGACAACTTGTCCTGGTACAGTCATGCATGTCACTGCTACTGGTCCAATGATCAAACCTCTGAACTGAATGTACTCCCCTAAAAAGGGCTGTTTTTGGAGAGGAACAGACAAGACCTTCAGCTTGAGGCTGTGGTATGTGGATTGCAACTGGAAGAAGGTTGCCTGGCTTAGCTCAGAGGTGAGATGAAGTGTCTGCCTCTGCCAGCCTTGTTCCTTGGCTTACATCCTGCAAGGGCAGACAACCCTCAAATCTTCTATCATGGATATGCAGCAATAGTGATGTGGGTGGCATCAGCTTATTCAGTAGTTGGCCACAGAGTACCTGGCCATAGAGTTGCTAAGCAGAGAGAGAACAGGACCAGGCTCAGCTAAACCAAATCTAGGCCCTGGGCTCAGCTAGCTCCAGTCCCCTTGCTGCCATGTGCCCCACCAGGTGGCCCAGCCAAAGACAAACACTGAGAACTGGGGACACTCAGTGATCTCTTCAACAGCCCATTCCCACTCTTCCACAGCCCAGCCTGCTCCATGCCTCCACCAAATCCAGCCACACAAGTAGCCCCTTTGTGCCACTAAAGCTGACATATGAACAGCCTCCTCTTAAGGCTGGAAGCTTGGTGGTGCCAGTCCCAATGGGTCAAGATGAGGTGCAGGGGTGATGGAGTGACAGGAGTCACAGCCATGTAACTCCTCTCCTGACATAGACAGAACAAAGGCCACCCAGCACCCACTGCCCCCAAATTTAGCTTCTTAGCGTGGGATCAGCAGCTAAGCTATCCTCCCATCAGCTCTCCATTTTTGTTCCAAATAGCATCAAAAGCCAATGCAGGACAAATCTGCAAGCAGTGCCATCAGCTCAGAGCTCTAGGACTAAATGCATGTGGGAGGGAGGGAGCTTGGATATGTGCATGGGGTTGCACTTTCACCACTGCAGCTTTCCCCAGACCTCATCTCATCATCCACTAACTCTGGCTGATGCCGAGGGGATGGGAGTGCAGGGAGCCCAGTGCACAGCCTGGTGCTTTACTGCAGGTCCCTCACGCTGACCCATGTGCGCCTGTGCCAGCCAAATCATTCTGCATCATTTCTCTCTCTCAAGGAGGTAATGGACTGGCTCCTCACCATCTGTCTGGCACACTGCAAGGCCTGTGGTGGCAACAGGTCCTTCCAAGGCAGCAGTTAAAGACAGAAAAAGAAGAAGGAACTGTTTTCCACAACTATCAGCCACATAAAACCAACACCACTCTTTGCAGAGAAAGAGAGGCTTAGGAGTAGTACTAAACACAGTGTCAAAGGGGATGGGACTCAGAGCATAGAGAAGTCACACCTGAGTGCAACCTTCAAACCCTGCTCCCCCCAGTTGGGAAGAGAGAGGCTGAAACACCAGCAGGGACACTACCTGACGCTGCTCAGCTGGCAGTGGATGCTGGGAAGTTTGCTGTGGTGATAATGAAGAGGCTGGAGTCTGTCAGCCGTGCCAGGGGGTAAGAGACTCTCCCCCTGCATCTAGCACTAAGTGACAGTGACACATGCAGCAGCAGTCCTGACTCTGTTCAGGAGGTGGCACTGGGGTGTGATTACCCTCTGGCAAGGAGGTAAATGGGTCAGAGCTGAACACTGGGGAAAATAACGAGCTTGCAGAAGAATTGAATATTTTCCAGGAAAAAAAAGTAATTAATAAATGTTGTATTTCCTCTCTGGCAACCCTAAGATCTGCAATTTAGCATCCCACATCTAACTTGAGACCCCAATAACCAGAGTCATTATTTTTCATCTTTTGATTCCACTTTGCTACACATTTTAGGGTATGAGGTATACACAGAGAGGAGAAAACGGTTGAGACAGAAGAAAAAGTCTGTTCCCCAGTGAGTGCACAGACAGAAGGGTCCAAGTGCTTTTCAAAGGTGCTGATGAATTTCAGCTGCAGGAGCTAGGCTTGAAGTGTTCCTGCACTGCTAGCCTTGGGAGCCCACCTCAATCACAGCACTGTGCCTTTCAGATTTCATGACAGCCTTTAGAAAATCACCCCTTTTCCTAGTCCCTCTCCACCATCATTATGGCCAACAGACCAGGGATTTGGCAGGTGACCCGATCATCCTTGGGTCACCACTAAAGCTGCAAAGAAAGGTCTCAGCAACACTGCAGAGTCCCTTTACTGAAACATCCGAAACCCCCAAAGATCTTTGTCTGAATGCCTGGCTGCAGAGAGTCCCCTCCCCCCAAATCTCCAGCTCAAATGTTCCAGTTCTAGGAAGATCACAGTGTCAAGCAATCCCGCGTTGTGGGGAGAGAGCTTCTTTCCTCAGCTGATAATGACTGTTGAGTCCCCAGTTGCCACTGAGATGCACTGAAGTGCACCATTAATGACCATCAGATCACCCAGGTTGCCAGTTGTGGATGTGACCTTTAGGCAGGTAGAAAGGTCTACAGATGCTCTGCCAGTGCTGAACAGGGCAGAACTAAGGACTTGGTGGCACCAGAAAGCTTTAAAGGCTCCTGCAGGATAACAGGAGCAGCTTTGTGAGCTCCAGATTCACAACAGCTTCAGAGCATGCCCAAGCAGTTCTCTGTGATGGCTTGCCACCCACACTGGAAAAAGAGCTCCAACCCTTCAAACCATTCTGAAGAAGCTGTCTGGAGCTGTCTGTCTGTCCTTTGCTACCACTCCCCTTGTCCAAGTGCTTTGGCACACCACCCAGATCTGCAGGTCCAAAACACCACCCTCAGAAATACTTTCCCAAGTTTCCCTACTTTGCCCAAATCACAAAGCTTTGCAACCCAGATGCCTCAAGAAAGGGTTTCTCCCAGCTCAGGTCTGGCATTTATGTTGACCTTAGTCAGGGTTCAAGTTGGGACCAGTGCCTGCCAATCATGTCACTCGTTCTCTTGCACTGTTTCATAACCTACACGTTGTACTTGGGACAAACCTGTTTCTGTGTTTGCGTCAGTGCTTCTGCTTGGAGGCTTGTGAGTGAAAACTCCCCCTGCCAATGCAACACAGATGAACAATGTCATTACTACAGTATTCAAGGCCTGAGCTGTATTTCCCTTTCTTTGGCACCAGTAGACTCCAAAGGTTCCTAAGCACCAGCATGAGCAGATCCAAGGCAACTATTGCCTGCAGATGTCTGTGTATTACTGCAGCAGCAGAGAAGTCTTGTTTGCTGGAAAAGCCTTTCTATACTCCCCTGAGAGCTTCCCCATGCCTGCCTCAGGCAGTTCAGTTTATTTTTACTGCTGTATCTGACACGTCCCCTTAATACGTATCATTAACATCCTGAGCTGTGCTAGTCAGCAATTTAATTCTCAGACCCAGGGTCACAAGCAAGAGGAGGTTTTTCCTAGAAGGTTGGAGTGGATCTTTCCCAGCACTGCTTAGGTCTGACTCTCCTCTCACTGCTGTCCCAAGGCCCTGACCACGCTCCCCAATTCTCTTTTGGAGGATGGCTTTTCTTTTTATAAATTCACCAAGCAAAGTTATGCCATCACTTTGATAGCTTCCCTGCTGTACACTTAGAGATGCTGTGGCTTATTCAGACACTAGAAAGGCAGCAGGGAGGAGGGAGAGTCTACTAGAGCTGTGTAAAGTAAATGTGCAGTGATGAAAACCCCTCTCTTCCATGTGCCAGAGCATCTGGTAAGACTCAGGCTACAGCACTGGTATCCTAGAAAATCTCTGTTATAGGGCACA